ATTTTTTCCCTACACCTTCCCCCTTCTCTAAAACTTTTCTGCAATCTATTTCCCACTCCCTTAAAATTTTGTCTTCCTGTAAGGGAAATTTCCCATTTAAAATTATGAAATCATTTTGTGTGAAAAAACCGGGGGAATTTAAATTTTTTTGGATTAATATTAGTGCGGGCTGATCCGGGATGACCCTGAAAATACAGAATGTACGATTGTGGATGACAAGGAGGTTTTCCAGTGGGTAGGGGTTGTGTAGTTTAAAAGTTTTTAACATTAAAAGCATATATGTAAAACATTTTTGGGATAAGGTAGGGGGAAATTTTTATTGCATTTATGGATTTTGAAAAGGCATATGATAGAGGGGGATAGGGGGAAAAATGTGGAAAATGTTACAAGTATATTTGGGAAAAGGTGGGGAAGTTATTAAATCTTAAAAAAGGGGGGTTTTTATGAGGATTTGTGAGGGCCCGGTTAGGGTTTTGTTGAAGAGGGGGAGGGCTACTTCCCCGGGGGAAAATAGGTCTTGGGCGGGGATTGTAATGTCCCATGGTTGTTTAAAAAATTTATAAAAAGGGGGTTTTAAAAGAAGTAAATGCTAGGTTTTTTTTTTTTTGGGGGAGGGGGGGATTTTAAAATTTTGGGTTTTTACCAACCTCTTAAAATGGGGGGTGAAGCTTGGGTTTAAATTTCTGGAAAGGGGGGAAGGGGGTTGGGGGGCCCGTCAGATGTCCTGTTTTTGGGCAATTTGGGGGTTTTAAATATTTTTGCAGAAAATTCCGGGGAGTGTGGGGAAAATTTGGAGAAGGGTGGAGTTTAAAAAAAGTATTAGTCGGGGCTGAAGAGGGGTTTTTTTCAGGGGGATTGGTCATTTTAGAGGAAAAGGATCAAAGTAGAATGACAAGGGCATGGGGAAAACGTTTTAAAAACTGTAGGGGAAGGGAAAGGCCCCGGGTTTGGGGTCATCCTCAAAAAAGGGTTGGGGGGAGAGGGTAAAGGAGGTTTTGGGGGGCGAGGGGGTTGGACTTCCAGCAAGCGTGTTTTTGAGCGTGTTTGAAAAGGAGGGGGAATGGAGAAAGAATGGTTTTTTGGGACCCCGAGAGCTGGGTTTGGGGTGTACAGGGGAATATTTGTGAAGGGGTTTACGAAAACCCTTTTTTTTTTATATTTGCCGGGCTTTTAGTCCCGGAAAAGGGGGGGTACAATGCCCTGCATTTAAAACCCCTTTTAAGGTCGGTTTACGTACAAGTCATCATTGCAGCCCGGGGCGGTCACGTCCCTTTTACGGGCCCAAAATTTTGCGCCTTCAAATCTGGTGGAAGAAAGCTGGCAGTCCTACATAGAAAAAAGGGGTCTGGTGGTAGTGCACAGTAAAAAAAAAAAATCCTGAACTGCTGTGCATAAAAAAAAAAAAAATTTCGCTTGTTTTTTTTGGTTTTTAAAAAAGTGTTTTTCAGTGAATTTTTGTATGGTAATTTAGGGTTGTATTCTTGTTTCCTTGGTTCTTTTGATAGAATGGAAGATATTTCAGAAGTAGACATGAATTTGATTGGTTTCACAATGGGAAAATACCTTAAATTGAGCTTAAATTGGGAAAAAGGTAGTTTTTTTCTGATATTCAAGAGAAACAAATCAAGCCCACCCAATACACGTCAACTGGCGGTTAATATTTTTTCTAAGTGTGCTGATATCATTTTTTATACCGTTTTTTCAATAAAGCAGTAGTAACTTAACAGAAAACTTTCTATTTTTTGTGAAAAAAAAAATTCAAAAGGAAACCAAAATTTGGGGGCCAGGAAATGATAATAACAATAAATGTTTTTTTTTAGGACATGAATTCTGTCTTGTTTATTTGGACCCTATTTTAAATTGGGATCGTTTAAAATTTGTTTTAAAATTGCCCAAATTGCCAATTTCTAAAAACTTTATTGGGGTTGAAATCAAATGGGCAGATTCTGTACTTAAACATAGACAAATAGATTTTTTGGAAATAGCTATGATTTTTTGTCAACTGCAACATTGGAATTGGCCGAAAAAAAAAGGGCCCCAAAATGGGAGAAATCGCCAACTTTGAGAGGCTAAATTTTCAAGAGCATAATTCCGTAAATTTTTCATCAAAATTTTTTACTTTTGGTTCATTATGATCGGAAAAAAATTTTCCCATCATTCATAAGATTTTTTTTTTTTTTCCAAAAAATTTTTTGACCCTGAGAAAACTTGGAAGGGGGGCCCTTGACCCTCAAAAGGGCTAAAGGGGGTTTGGTATTAAATTTGGAGGGGAAAATTTTTTTTTCTTTATGGTATAGCTTCTAAAAAGTTGTATTTGAGCACCCCGCAAAAAGTGATTTTGTGTGATGAGGGAAAGGTTGAAAGTAAGAAAGTATTTTTTTTTGGGGGATTTTCTTTTTTTTTTTTGGGGCACCCTCCTCGGTGGGGGGGGACGGCCGACTTGTTAAAAAAAAAAAAAAAATTTTCTGATTTTCCCAAGGACAGGTAAAGCCTCCACCACACACCCCAGTCTGTTTTATAGGTTTTTATTAGGTCTGACTGAATTAAATTTGGGGTACAGGAAGGCCCCAATTATATGGCAGGCTAGGTTCCAGGGGAAAAACCATAGAGCAAAAATTTTCCATACAGTATTCACCCTTTTTTTTAACTTTTAAATGCATATAAATGCCTGGTAACATGTTTACACTATCATATATTAAGTGAGCAATAGAATTAGACTAAAAACAATAAAAAAGTAAAATGCACATACAGTACATTTTTTTTCTTACCTTAACATATTTTCGTCCTCAGCTTACAGCGTGTGGTGCTGGTAGTGGTAGCCATAACTAGTGATGGCTAATGCTTACCATTTCTCTACTTACCACCAGTTAAAATCCTGTAACCAATAACACCAATAAATACAATAAATAAAAAAAAAAACGTGGGGAGGAGAACAAAACTATAGTCACAGTGGAACCCCCGCATAACGATTACCTCCGATGCGACCAATTATGTAAGTGTATTTAGGTAAGTGCGTTTCCTGTTCGTGTATGTGTGGGGGACTCTGAAATGGATAAATCTACTTCCAATATTTATCTATGGGAACAATATTCGGTCAGTACTGGCACCTGAAAATTCTTCTGGAATGTGAAAATAGATCGTTAAACCGGGGAGTCCACTGTACTAAGTTAGTGAATGTATCGTTAAACCTCATGTTCACTTTTTTCATCACCAGCACTTTTTCCAAGTCCTTGAGTCATTGCAAAAACACAAGTTTGCTTTTAGAAGTTAAGGTGATAAATTATGGATATATTACTAGGGAAACACAGGAAAATAAAGATAATAGTGTTAACACTCAATGTAAACAGAAGTTGTAAGATTTACCTGCCATTTTATATGGTTTATGCGATAAAGAAGAATAGGACAAGCAATTCTTCAGAGAGCAAAACATTAACAGGTTTCAATGTCACACTCATGTGATAAGACCTCGGTAGTAAACTCCTGGATGGTTGCTGTCCACCAACCTCACTTACCTGTGAGAAGTGATGAATACAGAGGAGTTGGATGGAGGTTATTGTACAACCTCATCTATATTAAAAAAAAAAATTTTTCTTGGAATCCATCAAACATAGAGAGGTGACTGGTGGCAATGTTTACATAGGATGGGATGACCTGAAGGAAACTTTTCATAGCAGCTCTGCTAGATATTACGCAGTGTAAAGGATAAAGATATAATTAAATACAGTGGTCCACGCTTAACGGATGCATCGCATAGAGATTTTATCCGCATAACGATTTACTTTTATCGCAAAATTTTTTGCCCCGCCATACCCGATTAAAAACCGCATACCGATTTTCGTACCGAGGACGCGTCCAATGTGCCCTTTCACATGTGCCGGCCGTCACATTGTTTTACCAGCGCCATCCGCGGTAAACATTCCCCAAGCATACACTCGGGAATATTCGTTTTATTACAGTGTTTTCGGTGGTGTCTTCTGGAAAATAAGTGAACCATGGGCCCCAAGAATGCTTCTAGTGCCAACTGTGGTTAAAAGGGTGAGAATTAGTATGGAAATAAGAAAGGATTTTGCAGGGTTTGGGGCTAACCTGAGTAGCCTATGCCTGTTGTGGAATACCATGGTGCCTACTTCAATAGATTATAGGAATGTGTGCAAGATTAGTGGTTTGACCTGCAAACCCTTTTTTTAGATGGAAAATCACCCTGACACAGCTGTTGCAAGCCGTGCTTGTGACTATTTCATATGACATATGTTATGGCCCTTTTTAGGAATGTCTTGCAGAAACGGGAGGTACAGAGCTCTATGGACGATTGTTGTGCGACAGTGGACGAGTGACTCTGAAGCTGGTCCTAGTGGCATTAAAAGAAGAAGGGAAGTAACCCCAGAAAGGACTTGCTACACTCACATGTCATAATGAAGGGGATTCACCTTCTAAACAGTTAGAAGATAATGTCTCCCTCTCCCACCCATCAATCATCACCAGATCTTCATATAAAAGTAATTGTCATGTAATTGTGCATGCCTTTTCAGTTTGTGTGTATTTAAATTAACATTTCATGTGGTTAAAAAAATTTTTTTTTCATACTTCTTGGGGTTCGTGCACGGAGATTAATTTTATTTCATATTTCTTATGGGGAATATTAATTCGCCATATCGGATTATTTCGCATAACGATGAGCCTCTTGCACGGTATTAAAATCGTTAAAAGGGGGGGGTTCAACTGTACTTAATAAAAAATAATATTCAGTTTGTTGTGCCTTCCAAAGTGAGCAAGTGATGTCTCGATATTGTGATTAAGTAATATGGTAATGTAGAGCTCTTGGTAATGTGCAATTAAGCTTTTTTTTGAAATTTGCAAGCATTGTTTTTTAATCTACTATAGTCAGGACTGTATCAATTTTACTTTCAGTCATTCACAATGAATGGCAAATATTACTCTAATTTAGAATTATTACTATGAAAACTTACTTCTTTCTGGAAAGACCTGCTCCAATTATGGCTCTAGATCAAGGGGTCTTCGATGACAATGCAACCGTGATATTCTCCCAATTTCTGCAAAACCGTTGTTGTTGGTGCCAATGCTGTTTGTAACAACAATTCCTTTCCAATGAAAGTCTCCGTTGTAAATAGCACAACATGGACCACCCATACTGTCCCACTGGATTCCTTATTCTTGCCATAATCTTTCCATGCCAGTCCTCTGTTGAAAAATGTCCAATGGTGTCATACTTTAAACTTGGATGGACATGAAAAAATCTAAATAATTTTAAATTTCATCTAAAGGTTAATATTATTATTTTTTTTTTCCAAGATTATAACAAGCCAAGTTAAATTTCTTTAGCCCACCTGGGAGTCAATTACTGGACTATTACCAATGATTTGACAATCTCATAAAAACCATGCATTTCCAGCCATCTCAATAATGAGTTGAGGTGCTGGCTTTGAATGTTCATTACAACTGCAAATATAATGGAAAGAAATTACACAAATGTAAAATATTATTATTGAGGGGATTATTTATCTACGGAATATCAGGAGGAGGAGGGGAGAGGAAAAAGAGGATGAAAGAGGAAGGTAAATTGAGGAAGGGAAAAAGAGGAGTAGAGGAAAAAAGGAAGAGGGGGAAAAAAAGGAAGAGCTAGGGAAGACACGGAGAGGAAAGATGAGAAGTGGGGAGGAGGGAGGACAATGGAAGATGAAAGCAGAGAAATAGGAGGGGTAGAGGTGAAGAAGTGAAAGAAAAGGAAGAGGGAGAGAGATGGGATTAAGTGGTTATTGGGAAGGTTTGGAAAGTGGGAAGCAAGAGAATGGGAAGGTGAGGTGGGATGAAGGTGGTTGGTAAGAGGAAGGTGAGAAGGTGAATGAAAGTGGAAAGGAGGGAGGATGTGGAAGGTGGTATGGAGATGTAGGAAGAGTTGAGGGGGTAGGTGGTGGTGAGAAGAGGGAGGGTAGGATGGTGTGTGGTGGTGAGAAGAGGGAGGTGGGAATGGTGGTGGTGGGAAGAGTGAGGTGGATGTTGGTGGTGGGAGAGTGAGGTGGGATGGTGATAAGAGGAGAGGTGGATGTGTGTAGTCCACCATGGTGACATCACACATTCGCTATCTAAGGCCAATTTTCTTGAAATTTATTCCTTTTTCATGTATACTCTAACATGGAGCCCATACTATCCTAATATATACTTCTTATCAGCTTAAAGTATCAATCACTCCTATTCTGCACTCTTGCACATTCATTGCCCATTTCCTTCCCTATGCCACCCTATCTATATGCCTTTTTCTCAAGCCATCAATGCAATGTAAAACTTCCCTACCTTATCTAAATACTAATCCACCTACATGCTCACTGTAAACACGTTGTGTTACACATCCCATACCTTTCCTAAAATGTCAAAGGTCTCTGGCAATTCTACTTCTCTGTATTGTATTTAATTTCACAAATAACCTGACACATAGAAGAGAGGTGCTTACAATAGGACATTTACTAGGTCTGAACTTGGACCATTTTACAAAGTCATCCATTCATCACCATAAGCTCCTCTCTTCAATGGTGCGGGTTATTTATGTATTGCTTTCCAGTATGGTATTGTGCATTTTTTTGTTATTTCATTTATATCTTTCAATAGTATCTCACTTACATTTTATGCTGGTACAACTCCCAAGCTTATCCCCCTTTAATTCTTACTCTCCATCATCTACTTTTCTTTTACATAGGAATATGCACTCTGCCAAACCATAGGCTCCTTTCTCCATCTGTACATTTATTGTACAAAAAGTACCAACCACTACAAGACTATATCCTCACTGTTTTGACATTTCTGTCTTTTTCCTATCAATCCAGCTTCTCTACCCCCTTTCATTCCATCCAGTGCCTAATGCACCTCCCCCCTATTCACATCTGGCTCTTACTCACTCATCAAAGTTGTTATTACCTCCTGCCCAAATGCATTAAATCACTTCCTCCTGCAATCTCTCCTCAACATTTAACAGCTCCTCAAAATATTCCTGCTATCTTCCCCAATACTTCAACCTCTCCTCTAATAATAATTACCTTTTGTTTCTAAATCGGTTAAATCATCGTTACCTTGCTTTGTATAACATATTAATTCTCTTAAACATTTTCTTATTTCAGCTAAAATTTGCTGGACTAAACCTCACCCACTTCATTTTGTTCTCATTTTGCATCTCCTATTCGTAACCCTTCTTCTTTCTATTCCTTACATACTCTCTTAACCCTTCATCTACTCTCCATATACTCCACTCTCATTTTATCATTCTGCTTTGTAGAACAACATAGTATGCTCATTCTTTGTCTCCCTTACCATTCTTCTTTACTTCATTCCACCAATCTATCTCCTGCCTCTAGAACCAACCTCCTACATTCACAAACTTTGCTGCACCTACTTAACACCAGTTCTTTAATCTTTCCATAACCTCTATGGCCTCTTCTTCATTACCATATACTTTCTTCTCTAGCCATAATTTTCCAACAGTTGGATTAATATCTTACCCTTAATGCTCCTTTAATTTATAAACTTGCACTTCCTTTTACTCACTGATAACCATCGTCTTCTTTGAACCCGATCCACCTTCTCACTCTCGTGTAGCTTCAAACTATAATAATATATCTGCTGCCCCTCTAAAAACATGCACATACAGAAGTCTACCCAACATCCTTTTATATATTTAATATATAATCTATCAAACTGCTGTCATTACGCTGTATATTCACATCGCCACGTCTTATCTTTTTTTTTTTTTTAAATATGCATAACCTGTTACCAAACCTTTTCCAAACAAAACGTTGAATAATAAGGTCACCACTATCATTTTACCCATGGCACCTAATGATACCTATTATGGCCCTGTATAACAGTTTTTTACCACTTTAGTTATTTTGTCCCCACAAACAATTATTTATTACTTGGTTCATTAACTCACTAATCAACTTGTTTAACATCTCCCAAAATTATTCCCATACTTCCATTCAGGTGAATTATCTAATGCTTAAATATAACCCACTTTTTGCATACCACCCTTATTTTAATCACACAATCCTTGAATGTATAATTTACATTCTTCTTTTCCTTGATATTTTTACCATTTATATTCAATCTTTTTCTTGATTTGATACATTCGTATTCCTCTTTTCCTTCCCAGAGTATTAATTATAAAAAAAACCTAAGCAGGTATATCCTTATGTTGATTTACCTACCTCTTGATAGCACAGGGATGACTGGGTGTTTGCATGCTTCTGCAGAAATGTGTAGCTCACCCCTTTGTAAACAATCCAAATCTCTCTCCCCCCAGTCCCCCATACACTAAGAAGAATCTCCAATAAAGGTAAGTGTTATGCTGTTAATGTTTCATTCATCATTTCTCATTGTATTGTTTATGTACTACATATATATTTCATGTAAAAAAATTTTTTGTTTTAATACTTCTGGGTGTCAGGAACGGATTAATTGTATTTACATTATTGCTTATGGGGAAAATTGATTCGCAAATCTTAAATTTCGTTTATAGTAGCTCCTCCAGGAACGGATTAATTACGAAAAACGAGGGACCACTGTATTATAATATAAGTTTACTAAGTATACCAGGGAAAGTGTACGGTAGGGTTATAATTGAAAGAATTAGAGGTAAGACAGAATGTAGGATTGCGGATGAGCAAGGAGGTTTCAGAGTGGGTAGGGGATGTGTAGATCAAGTGTTTACATTGAAGCATATATGTGAACAGTATTTAGATAAAGGTAGGGAAGTTTTTATTGCATTTATGGATTTACAAAAGGCATATGATAGAGTGGATAGAGGAGCAATGTGGAAAGATGTTGCAAGTATATGGAATAGGTGGTAAGTTACTAAATGCTGTAAAGAGTTTTTATGAGGATAGTGAGGCTCAGGTTAGGGTGTGTAGAAGAGAGGGAGACTACTTCCCGGTAAAAGTAGGTCTTAGACAGGGATGTGTAATGTCACCATGGTTTTTTAAATTATATTTATAGATGGGGTTGTAAAGGAAGTAAATGTGGGGTGTTCAGGAGAGGGGGGGGAAATTAAATTTTGGGGAATCAAAATTCAAAATGGGAATTGACACAGTTACTTTTTGCTGATGATACTGTGCTTATGGGAGATTCTAAAGAAAAATTGCAAAGGTTAGTGAATGAGTTTGGGAATGTGTGTAAAGGTAGAAAGTTGAAAGTGAACATAGAAAAGGTAAGGTGATGAGGGTATCAAAAGATTTGGATAAAGAAAAATTGGATATCAAATTGGGGAGGAGGAGTATGGAAGAAGTGAATTTTTCAGATACTTGGGAGTTGACGTGTCGGCGGATGGATTTTTTGAAGGATGAGGATAATCATGAACTGATGAGGGAAAAAAAGGTGAGTGGTGCTTTGAGGTATATGTGGAGTCAAAAAACGTTATCTAGGGAGGCAAAGAAGGGAATGTAGAAAGTATAGTAGTACCAACACTCTTATATGGGTGTGAAGTTTGGGTGGAAAATGCGCAGCGAGGAGACGGTTAGAGGCAGTGGAGATGTCCTGTTTAAGGGCAATGTGTGGTGTAAATATTATGCAGAAAATTGGGGAGTGTGGAAATTGGGAAAAAAGGGTGTGGAGTTAATAAAATTTATTAGTCAGAGGGCAGAAGAGGAGTTGTTGAGGTGGTTTGGTCTTTTTAGAGAATTGGATCAAAGTAGAATGACATGGAAAGCATATAAATCTATGGGGGAAAGGAAGGCGGGGTAGGGGTCGCCCTAAAAAAGGTTGGAGAGAGGGGGTAAAGGAGGTTTTGTGGGCGAGGGGCTTGGACTTCTAGCAAGCGGCGTGAGCGTGTTAGATAGGAGTGAATGGAGACGAATGGTTTCTTGGGACCTGACGATCTGTTGGAGTGTGAGCAGGGTTTAAAATTTAGTGAAGGGATTCAGGGAAAACCCGGGTTTTTTTCATATAGTCGGATTTGAGTCCTGGAAATGGGAAGTACAATGCCTACACTTTAATGGAGGGGTTTGGGATATTGGCAGTTTGGAGGGATATGTTTTTGTATCTTTATATGTATATGCTTCTAAACTGTTGTATTCTGAGCACCTCTGCAAAAACAGTGATAATTGTGTGAGTGTGGTGAAAGTGTTGAATGATGATGAAAGTATTTTCTTTTTGGGGATTTTCTTTCTTTTTTGGGTCACCCTGCCTCGGTGGGAGACGGCCGACTTGTTGAAAAAAAAAAAATTATAATGATGGGGAAGAACTAAACCCGTAGGATTATACAGTGCATGTGGGGGGGGATGGAAGGCATTCAGGCTCATTTCAGGGAACCAGAGCACAGTTCCAATTCCCAAGATCAAGAGCCCCTCACCAGCATCAAGGAACCTCCCTTGAAGGGTATGGTATAGTTAAGCATGTGTGTATTTAATCAGAGTGAACAGAAGCAAGTGGTTTTCATGGTGAGCAAAATAAGAGCAGCTTACACTTAAGTCACACTACACATACATGTACACATTTATTTATACACATTCATCTGAGTTTTCTTTGATTTTATCTTAATAGTTCTTGGTCTTATTACTTTTCATTTTATATCCATGGGGAAGTGGAATAAGAATCTTTCCTCCGTAAGCCATGCGTGTTGTAAAAGTCAACTAAAATGCCGGGAACAATGGGCTAGTAACCCCTTTTCCTGTAAAGATTACTAAAAAGAATAAGACGAAAATTGTCAAAGTGGGAAGTCTGAATGTGCGTGGATGTTGTGCAAATGATAAGAAAGAGATGATTGTGCATGTTATGAATGAGAAGAAGCTGGATGTCCTGGCTTTAAGTGAAACAAAGCTGAAGGGGATGGGAGAGTTTCTATGGAGAGGAATAAATGGGATTAGGTCAGGGGTTTCAAACAGAGTTAGAGCTAAAGAAGGAGTAGCAATAACATTGAAGGATAAGCTATGGCAGGAAAAGAGGGACTATAAATGTATTAATTCAAGGATTATGTGGAGTAAAATAAAGATTGGATGTGAAAAGTGGGTTATAATAAGCGTGTATGCACCTGGAGAAGAGAGAAGTGTAGAGGAGAGAGAGAGATTTTGGGAAATGTTGAGTGAATGCGTGGGGACTTTTGAATCAAGTGTGAGAGTAATGGTGGTTGGGGATTTCAATGCTAAAGTGGGTAAAAATGTTATGGAGGGAGTAGTAGGTAAATTTGGGGTGCCAGGGATAAATGTAAATGGGGAGCCTTTAATTGAGCTATGTGTAGAAAGAGATTTGGTAAAAAGTAATACATATTTTATGATAAAGAGGATAAATAAAATACAAGGTATGATGTGCATGTAATGAAAGTATTTTATTAGATAATGTATTGGTGGTTTAAAAGGTTGAGGGGTTTAGGCTCCAGGATATACATGTTTATAGAGGGGCAACTGATATTCGGATCATTTTTTTGTTTTGCTACAGTTAAGAGTAAGGGGTAGATGGGAAAAGGGGAAAGGTGGAAAACAAACAAGTAAGAGGGAGGTGAAAGTGTATAAACTAAGGGGGGAGGAATTTCCCGGGTGAGATATAAAGGACTATTGGCAGAAAGGTGGGCTGTGCAAAGATGAGTAGTGGGGGGGGGGGGAGGTGTTGAAGAGGGTTGGATAGTTTTAAAATGCAGTATTAGAATGTGGGCAGAAGTTTGTGGTTAGGAGGGTGGGGGGGAGGAGGAAAGAGGAGTGATTGGTGGAGTGATGAAGTAAAGGGGTGATAAAAGAGAAAAAGGTAGCTTATGAGAGGTTTTTACAAAGCAGAAGTGTTATAAGAGAGCAGAGTATATGGAGAGTAAAAAAAAGGTAAAGAGAGTGGTGAGAGAGTGGGAGAGGCACTGTCAAGAAATTTAAATGAAAATAAAAAAAAAATTTTTGGAGTGAGTTAAAAAAGTTAAGAAAGCCTAGGGAAAGTATGGATTTGTCAGTTAAAAAACAGAGTAGGGGGAGTTAGTAGATGGAGAGATGGAGGTATTAGGTAGATGGCAAAAATTTATTTTGAGGAACTTTTAATTGTTAAGGAAGAGAGGCAGTAAAATTTTATGCACTGGTCAGGGAGGTATACCATCTTTTAGGAGTGAAGAAGAGCAGAATGTAAGTGTGGGGGAGGTACGTGAGGCATTACGTAGAAGAAAGGGGTAAAGCAGTTGGAACTGATGGGGGTCATGACAGAAAATGTTAAAAGCAGGGGGGGGATATAGTCTTGGAGTGGTTGGTACTTTTGTTTAATAAATGTATGAAAGAGGGGAAGGTACCTAGGATTGGCGGAGAGCATGTATAGTCCTTTTTATAAAGAGAAAGGGGGCAAAAGAGACTGTAAAAATTATAGAGGAAAAAAGTTTACTGAGTAACCCGGAAAAGTGTACGGTAGGGTTATAATTGAAAGAATTAGAGGTAAGACAGAATGTAGGATTGCGGATGAGCAAGGTTGGTTTCAGAGTGGGTAGGGGTTGTGTAGATCAAGTGTTCACATTGAAGCATATATGTGAACAGTATTTAGATAAAAGGGAGGGAAGTTTTTATTGCATTTTTGGATTTTGAAAAAGGCATATTAGATAGTGGATAGAGGAGCAATGTGGCAGATGGTTGCAAGTATATGGATAGGTGGTAAGTTATTAAATGCTGTAAAGAGTTTTTATGAGGATAGTGAGGCTCAGGTTAGGGTGTGTAGAAGAGAGGGAGACTACTTCCCGGTTTTAAAATAGGTCTTAGACAGGGATGTATAATGTCACCATGGTTGTTAATATATTTATAGATGGGGTTGTAAAGGAAGTAAATGCTAGGGTGTTTGGGAGAGGGGTGGGATTAAATTTTGGGGAATCAAATTCAAAATGGGAATTGACACAGTTACTTTTTGCTGATGATACTGTGCTTATGGGAGATTCTAAAGAAAAATTGCAAAGGTTAGTGGATGAGTTTGGGAATATGTGTAAAGGTAGAAAGTTGAAAGTGAACATAGAAAAGAGTAAGGTAATGAGGGTATCAAATGATTTAGATAAAGAAAAATTGGATATCAAATTGGGGAGGAGGAGTATGGAAGAAGTGAATGTTTTCAGATACTTGGGAGTTGACGTGTCAGCGGATGAATTTATGAAGGATGAGGTTAATCATAGAATTGATGAGGGAAAAAAGGTGAGTGGTGCGTTGAGGTATATGTGGAGTCAAAAAACGTTATCTATGGAGGCAAAGAAGGGAATGTATGAAAGTATAGTAGTACCAACACTCTTATATGGGTGTGAAGCTTGGGTGGTAAATGCAGCAGCGAGGAGACGGTTGGAGGCAGTGGAGATGTCCTGTTTAAGGGCAATGTGTGGTGTAAATATTATGCAGAAAATTTGGAGTGTGGAAATTAGGAAAAGGTGTGGAGTTAATAGAAGTATTAGTCAGAGGGCAGAAGAGGGGCTGTTGAGGTGGTTTGGTCATTTAGAGAGAATGGATCAAAGTAGAATGACATGGAAAGCATATAAATCTATAGGGGAAGGAAGGAGGGGTAGGGGTCATCCTAGAAAGGGTTGGAGAAAGGGTGTAAAGGAGGTTTTGTGGGCAAGGGGCTTGGACTTCCAGCGTGCGTGAGCGTGTTAGATAGGAGTGAATGGAGACGAATGGTACTTTGGACCTGACGATCTGTTGGAGTGTAAGCAGGGTAATATTTAGTGAAGGGATTCAGGAAAACCGGTTATTTTCATATAGTCGGACTTGAGTCCTGGAAATGGGAAGTACAATGCCTGCACTTTAAAGGAGGGGTTTGGGATATTGGCAGTTTGGAGGGATATGTTGTGTATCTTTATATGTGTATGCTTCTAAACTGTTGTATTCTGAGCATCTCTGCAAAAACAGTGATAATGTGTGAGTGTGGTGAAAGTGTTGAATGATGATGAAAGTATTTTCTTTTTGGGGATTTTCTTTCTTTTTTGGGTCACCCTGCCTCGGTGGGAGACGGCCGACTTGTTGAAAAAAAACAAAAAAAACAAAATTTAAATTTTTTGTGTAAACAAGTGGTGATCTGTCAAATTACTTGTTGACCATCACCAACCCCTACCATCCCGGGAGAGAAGTACTGGTGTTTACCTACTAACCAAAGTAAGCCAGTAGTGTCACTCAACTCCTGACTCTCCTGGTAATTAGTTCTCAGGTTTACTCATTGTATTCTTGTACCTGCATTGGCTTATGTTTAATCTGGCTACTCATGTGTCTATGCCATAACCTATGTGTCCTCTGGTAACCTCTTATTTTTTTCAGCCCACAGGAATGGAATCAAGTTGCTCCAATTTGCATCACACGGCTGCGTGTGTATGTTTTTTGACCAGAGGTCCAACCTGATCATATGTTTGAGCTATGATTTGGATATTTTGGCTGACTCTACTAGCCTTCACCTCACATAGCAGGCTCTAGGAAAATCGTCTAAACATCTGTACTGACCAGGGCTTCTTTCCGATTGTATGATATTTATGATACGGTTATCCTAGTCAGCTCTATTGTCCTCATCATCTAAGTAGTAGAAGAAAATCTGACCAGAACATCTACATCTTCATCTGTATTCTACAAATTATCTACTGTACATTCAAGATAGCAGCAAGTCATCTGTTGTTAGGTTTGGTCATTGTAATTTTTTCTTATTCAGTTTTGATTTAGTTAGTTTAATAAACTTCATATTTTTCTATTTATAATAAACTTACATTTTTTCCTCAAATTTTGTATTTCTATACTTTTCTTTCATTAGAGAGGAATGTAAGATATAAACTCATTTCTGGGTTCCATTCCTCACACATGGCTTGATATACAGCTGGAATTTTAGGAGGGTAACATGTATGAAGTGATTCAGGGAAAACTGGTAAGCTGCACCCGAGTCCTGGAGGTGGCAAGTACAGTGCCTGCATTCTGGGGAAAGGGGTTGGAATACTTCCATTTGGAGGGTCATCTGAGTGGAGATGTCTGCACACTTCTGGTAAGATAGTGATGATGAATGTTTCCTTTTCTGGGGTCACCCTATCTCAGTGGAAGATGACTAATGTGTAAAAAACAAAAATCCGTCAAGGTAATTGGCAATAAAATGCCAAAACATTTGGCAGAAAGAAAAGCTTTATGAATATGTACCAATAATAAAAATAATACTGGTATTATGTAGTTCATTCAATAATATAAAACACTAATTAAGATATGCTCACCTTCACTCTATAATCAATTCTGGAATAAGTATGTAAAAGTTTGGTATTCTGCAGTGCTAACGTGTTGTAGAGAGAGAGGTCACCTTCAAGGGAGGCATGCCGGATGGAAAACTTGACAATTGGAACCTTTGCTGTTGTTATGGCAAACACATGACCACACTGACGATATCTTTTCAATTTATCTGCTAGAGATTCTATGATCTTGATGTGATCTATATCCTGAAAAAATAAATAATGTATCAAAGCAAAATCAATTTTACTTTTTTGCAATATTTTCATGTGTCAGGGGATTTTATTGAAACAATAACAATGCACAATTTAAATAATTTTTAGTCTTGAACAAGTACATAATTAAACACCAGCACATTAAGTTTGAGGCCAGACAGAATTTTAATTATCTAGCTATCATTGTTAAAAAGGTGATTATTTCACAACAACAAGTGATCCCCAGGCATCTGGAGATTATTTCTCAAGAGAATATCCCAGTAAAACAATGGAAACATGAAAACTGTAAAACCATTTTTTTGTAGGGTTCAGGGAACCACTAGAAATACAACCCATCTATTTTACAGAACTAAGAGCTCTCCAGTACAGATAGCCCATTCAAGCAACTTGAGTACCTGAAGTTGTCATGGTTAGGAGGCAGTCTTCATGGTTTAAGAAATGCTACACACAAAAAAATGCATTTTTATTTTTCAAAACACTGTGTGCTGTGTAAAGGCTTTCAAGATTTTATTGCCATGCTTCACCTATGAGTGGGTTTTATCAAGCACACTCATGTACTTTATCGTGTAAACGTACTTGATAAAGCCCACTTGTGGGTAAACCATACCAAAGAAAGCACTGCAGTCCACTTTTGAAAGAAGACTACATAGGCTATTAGGTGAGGTCACACTACAAAGAACATCAGTAGGGATCAGAGAAAAGATACCCAGTGTTTTGTGTAGTTCTCCCTACTTATTACTGGTCTAGAAGGCTCAGAACACTCCCCCTCCCCCTGATAGAGCTACACTACCCAATAACAAACTTTTAATAAGATTAATAAAAAGTACAGAACTTCTGAAGTTGAATGAAGAGTCATTCTCAAGTTACTGCATAGGAATGAAGAGCCACAGAAGAAACATTGGAATAAATAATTTAATAAACCATAGAAGGAATGCCTGGAATGACTGCATAAACTAAAATATTAAGCCCCAAATTCACTAAGACTGATAAACAATTTATGTTCGAGAAACTTGTCAGAAAATTATCATATTTAAATTCACACTACAAACTTACTCAATCGATTTATCTCCACATGCTACTGAGAATATCTTGCTCTAAAATTTGATCAATTGTACCTTTGATAGCCGGATTTAGGTGGTGGGGAGGCCCAGGGCCGTTTGGTGGGTAGAGAACCCCTTGCATTAAAAAGGTCTAACTCTAATGGTTAGAAGACTAAGTTTCTCCTTGGAAAACTTTTGCCACTCAATATATGTATCATCCTCTGAAGATGAAGAAATGAAACAATAAATTGGATTCATAGTGTAATTTAGCACCCTTTCAGTTCATTTGCAAGTGTAACTCAAAATTAATCTACAGACTTATGAAGATTTATCTTCAATCAGATAAAATATTATAAGTAAAGTACATTCCGTGCTTTTCTGATAGAAAAAAATCTTTGATGACTATCAAAATGCAACGGGCACAGGATGTCAGATTCTATGCTCATGACCACCAGGCTCACAAGCCGCCCTTGCTTCATGCTCATTCGTAGCTGGTTCTCACTACCACACTGTTGTTCACAAACTGACCATGATCAAGCAGTCATTCGTACTGCAATGCCCTGCACACCCAGGATGATGATGTGCTGTGAATCATCCTCGTGTCATGCAGCTGACGACGCGCTTGCACCAATGATGTAACAGTAGCGATCAGATGACTCAACGTGACAATCCCATCACAATTCAAACTCTTGTATGCATTTTCTCTTTTTGTGATCTACTTAATTCTCAGTATAATGTGTCATAATATTTTTCATCATTTGGGGGGCCCGGGGCCCCTTCCCTAAATCTAGCCCTGATTCTACACGATACTATACAAATCTTCCATTTTATAAACACATTTTACCAATTATACTCATGACTGCATCCTGTTATCACAAGAAAAAACAGAAAAATATTTAATATAAAAAGTCATCAAGAACTCACATCACCTGATGGATTACCCTCAAAGGTCAAGCAAATGTCTAAATCTGAACGTTGGAAACCAAAACCATTTGCTGAGGAACCAAATAACTTGAGAGTCACCCCACGGAAGAACTGGTGAATGTAATTTTCCAAGTCAGCAACTATTCTATCTCTCTCATCAATTTCTTCTATACTTGGTTCAAAATCCTCTGAAAAGAAGAATGATTTATTAGGCTAACTAATGACAATTTCATTAACATACACAAAATAAAACTTTTCAAGATGCTTATAAGATTTTTATGTATATTTTAATATATAATTTAACAAATAATGAATAATGGTTTTTAGGACCTGACGTGCCGTTGGAGTGTGAGCAAGGTAACATTTATGAAGAAATTCAAGGAAACAGGAAGGCCAGACTGGAGTCCGGGAGATAGGAAGTAGTACAGTGCCTGCACTCTGAAGGAGGGGGCGTTAACATTTAAATTTTATAGCTGTGTGAGAGTGCCTCTGACAGGAGTGAATGATGATAAAAGTTTTCTTTTTCAGGCCATCCTGCTTTGGCGGGAAACGGCTGATGTGTCGGCGGATGGATTTATGAAGGATGAGGTTAATCATAGAATTTATGAGGGAAAAAAGGTGAGTGGTGCGTTGAGCTATATGTGGAGACAAAAAATGTTATCTATGAAGGCAAAGAAGGGAATGTATGAAAGTATAGTAGTACCAACACTCTCATATGGGTGTGAAGCTTGGGTTGTGAATGCAGCATCGAGGAGGCGGTTGGAGGCAGTGGAGATGTCCTGTCTAAGGGCAATGTGTGATGTAAATATTATGCAGAAAATTTGGAGTGTGGAAATTAGGAGAAGGTGTGGAGTTAATAAAAGTATTAGTCAGAGGGCTGAAGAGGGGTTGTTGAGGTGGTTTGGTCGTTTAGAGAGAATGGAACAAAGTAGAATGGCATAGAGAGTATTTAAATCTGTAGGGGAAGGAAGGCGAGGTAGGGGTCGTCCTCGAAAAGATTGGAAGGAAGGGGTAAGGGAGGTTTTGTGAGCGAAGGACTTGGACTTCCAGCAGGCGTGCATGAGCGTGTTTGATAGGAGTGAATGGAGACAAATGGTACTTGGGACCTGACGATCTGTTGGAGTGTGAGCAGGGTAATATTTAGTGAAGGGATTCAGGGAAACTGGCTATTTTTATATAGCCGGACTTGAGTCCTGGAAATGAGAAGTACAATGCCTACACTCTAAAGGAGGGGTTTTGGGATATTAGCAGTTTGGAGGGATATGTTGTGTATCTTTATACGTATATGCTTCTAAACTGTTGTGTTCTGAGCACCTCTGCAAAAACAGTGATTATGTGTGAGTGAGGTGAAAGTGTTGAATGATGATGATGAAAGTATTTTCTTTTTGGGGATTTTTTCTTTCTTTTTGGGTCACCCTGCCTCTGTGGGAGACGGCTAACTTGTTAAAAAAAAATAAAATAAATAAAACTTTATATGTAACAAATAATTCTTTTTAACACGTTGGCCATTTCCCACCGAGGCAGGGTGATCCAAAAGGAAAGAAAAAACTTTCATCATTCAACACTTTCACCATCACTTACACATAATCACTGTCTTTGCAGAGGCACTCAGATATCCTAAACCCCTCTTTTAAAGTGCAAGCACTGTACTTCCAATTTCCAGGACTCAAGTCTGGCTAACCGGTTTCCCTGAATCCCTCCACCAAATATTACCCTGCTCACACTCCAACAGCTCGTCAAGTCCAAAAAAACCCTTTGTCTCCATTCACTATCTAACACACTCATGCATGCTTGCTGGAAGTAAAAGCCCCTCGCCCACAAAACCTCCTTTACCCCATCCCTCCAACCTTTTCGGGGGCGATCCCTACCCTGCCTGCCTTCCCTACAGATTTATACTCTCTCCAAGTCATTCTTTGTTCCATTCTCTCTAAATGACCAAACCACCTCAACAGCCCATCTTCAGCCCTCTGACTAATACTTTTAATAACTCCACACCTCCTCCTAATTGCCACACTATGAATTCTCTGCATAATATTTACACCACACATTGCCCTTCGATACAACATCTCCACTGCCTCCAGCTGCCTCTTTACTGAAGCACTTACAACAAACCATGCTTCACACCCACATAAGAGTGCTGGTACCACTATACTCTCGTACATTCCCTTCTTTGCCTCCATGGATAACGTTCTTTGTCTCCACAGATACCTCAATGCACGACTCACTTTATTTCCTTTATCAATTCTACGTTCAACCTTGTCCTTCATAAACCCATCAGCTGACAAGTAAACTCTCAAATATCTGAAAACATTCACTTCTTCCATACTTCCTCCCTTCAATGTGATATCCAATTTTCCTTTATCTAAATTGCTTGATACTCTCATTACCTTATGTTTATCTATGTTAACTTTCAACTTTTTACCTTTACACACACTCCCAAACTCATCCACTAACCTTTGCAACTTTTTTTTGGAATCTCCCAAAAGCACAATACAGCAAAAAGTAACTGTCAGCTCCTATTTTGTATTTGATTCCCCCATAATTTAATCCCACCCCTCTCCCCAACACCCTAGCATTTACTTCCTTTACAACCCCATCTATAAATATGTTAAACCACCATGGTAACATCACACATCCCTGTCTAAGACCTACTTTTACTGGGAAGTAATCTCCCACTCTGTTACACACCCTGAGCCTCACTATCTTCATAAAAACTTTTTACAGCATTTAGTAACTTACTACCCATTCCGTACACTTGCAAATTTGCTTCCCTGCCTTTATCTAAATACTGTTCACATATATGCTTCAATGTCAACACCTGATCTACATATCCCCTACCCATTCTAAAGCCTCCTTGCTCATCTGCAATCCTACTTTCTGTCTTACTTCTAATTCTTTCAATAATAGCCCTACCATACACTTTACCTGGTATACTCAGTAAACTACTACTACTTTCTTTCAACGCACCGACCATATCCCACCGAGGCAGGGTGTCCCAAAAGGAAAAACAAAAGTTTCTCATTTTGAATTTAGTAATATATACAGAAGAAGGGGTTACTAGCCCCTTGCTCCTGGGATTTTTGTTGCCTTTTATGACATGCATGGCTTACAGAGGAAGAATTCTGTTCCACTTCCCCATGGAGAACTCGGTAAACTTATTCCCTTATAATTTTTTCAATCTCTTTTGTCCCCTTTCCCTTCATATTAAGGAATTATACAGGCTCTCTGCCAATCCCTAGGTACCTTTCCCTCTTTCATATATTTATTAAACAAAAATGCTAACCACTCTAACACTATATCTCTCTATGCTTTTAACATTTGTCACAACCCCATCAGTTCCAGCTGCTTTACCTCCTTTCATTCTATGTAATGCCTCATGCATCTCCCCCCACACTCACATCCTACTCTTCTTCACTCCTAAAAGATGTTATACTTTCCTGGCCAGTGCATGAAATTACCGCCTCCCTTTCTTCATCGACATTTAAAATTTCCTCAAAATATTCCCGCCATCTATCCAATACCTCCAACTCCCCATCTACTAACTCCCCTACTCTGTTTTTAACTGACAAATCCATTCGTTCCCTAGGCTTTCTTAACTTGTTTATCTCACTCCAAAATTTTTTCTCATTCTCAGCAAAATTTCTAGACAGTGCTTCTCCAACTCTGTCATTTGCAGTCACTCACTGCTCTCTTCACCTTTCTTTTACTCTCCTTCTTGTATCACTTCAGCTTTGCAAAAAAAACCCTCATAAACTACCTTTTTTCAATTAAATAATTTTTTTACCCTATCAAAGCAAGGTGATCCAAAGAAAATTCTGCAAACTTAAATACAAAAAAAATTCAAATATGTACAAAAATTGCATACACTTGGCTATTCTCACATACAAATATATTCTTATTACATACTTGTTAGCTGTTCAAATATGGCAGTGAGCTGATTGAGGAAGTGACTATTCATGGGTGGTAAACACTTCAGTGGTGGTAGCTCATCTTCACGGCAGTCTGCCTTGCAATGCCCTTCCTTCTGGCATGATCCACATATTAATGGTGGCTTTTGCCCCAATGTAAAGATCTTTCCTTCAAACCTGCAAGGCAACAAAAACTGTGCAATCTTCAAAACTATTATAGTAGAACAGTGTGATAAAATGCAAGCAAAGCACAGACTTGTGAAAAAAAATTTACCCCTCTCCATTAAAATCTATGACACTTCATTTTAAAAGCCCCACCTAGAACATTAAGCAAATTAACTGGCATTCTTGATATACCAACTGGTTTAATTATTATTAAATGTATGCTAGATTACAAATATTTCATTCTGACTCCCAGGTTTTTAAAAGTAGCACATTCAACAGATATGGCCATACTGCCATTAACCCAAACTGTCCACGTGCGGGGGGGGCTCTGAACATAGAACTACATTTTTTTTTTTTTGCATGCTTTCAAATGGGGAAAATCAAGGTCGGAGCGCTACGCACGTGAACGTAGATCTACGTTTGGACAGTTTAAGGGTTAATCTTCAATCAAAAATTGGAATCCAATTTTTGTAATAGCCCCAACTGATTTTTTTTACACTACTTTTTTTGTCTATTGTGTTTGCCATCATCTGTTGCATTTGCACAAATAATTTAACAAAATGCTATGATGCTTCATTTTCTTATTTCATGACAAATCTGCTAAAAAAAAAAATTAAGTCTTCACCTTTTGGGTTGGTTCTAATTTGCTAGTTAGATGGAAAACATCATTCTGATGATGATAACTATTTTTTAGAAAAGTTAATAATTATGTGCAGAAATAAAGACAGATTCAAACCTGGACTACACCACAATTGTTAAAGTGATGATTTTGATTTTATTAGGGTTTCTAAGAAATACCAGTAATGAATATTAACAGTTGTGACAATTCTATATAAAAATGATAATTCAACAGGAACTGCCATACAAAAATTATTACTGTAATGGGTTAATCATATAAAAGAAAAATATAAAAAATAGTAGAGTAAATCCCTTATTAAAGGGCCTATCATGGTTTACAACTGATTTGTGAAACATGAATTAAAATTAATATGGATTTACAAAAAAATTAAGAAAAGTAATATACAGTGGTACCTTGACTTACGAGTAATTCATTCTGTGACCCAGCTCATAACTCAATTTGTTCGTATATCAAATCAATTTTCCTCATTGAAATTAAGTGAAATGCCATTAATCCATTCCAGCCCAAAAAAAACCACCCCAATATTTTTGTTACAGGTTTTTAAACAAGAAAAATGTATTTATAAATAAGACATATTGTATACTCCACCCACCACCTTCACTACTCCACCCACCACCATATCTACTCCACCCACCATTATCACTACTCCATCCACCACCATCGCTACTCCACCCACCACCATCACTACTCCACCCACCACCATCACTACTCCACCCACCACTATCACTACTCCAACCACCACTATCACTACTCCATCCACCACCACCACTACTCCATCCACCACCATCACTACTCCATCCACCACCATCACTACTCCACACACCACCATTACTTCTCCACCCACCACTATCACTACTCCACCCACCACCATCACTACTCCATCCACCACCATCACTACTCCATCCACCACCATCACTATTACACCCACCACCATCACTATTACACCCACCATCACTACTCTATCCACCACCATCACTACTACACCCACCACCATCACTACTACACCCACCACTATCAGTAAGTACTCCACCCACCACCATCACTACTCCATCCACCACCATCACTACTACACCCACCATCATCACTACTCCATCCACCACCATCACTACTCCATCCACCACCATCACTACTCCATCCACCACCATCACTACTCCATCCACCACCATCACTACTCCACCCACCACCATCACTACTCCATCCACTACCATCACTACTACACCCACCACCATCACTACTCCACCCACCACTATCAGTAAGTACTCCACCCACCACCATCACTACTCCATCCACCACCATCACTACTACACCCACCACCATCACTACTCCATCCACCACCATCACTACTCCATCCACCACCATCACTACTACACCCACTACCATCACTACTACACCCACCACTATCAGTAAGTATTCCACCCACCACCATCACTACTCCATCCACCACCATCACTACTACACCCACCATCATCACTACTCCATCCACCACCATCACTACTCCACCCACCACCACCATCACTACTCCATCCACCACCATCACTACTCCATCCACCACCATCACTACTCCACCCACCACCATCACTACTCCACCCACCACCATCACTACTCCACCCACCACCATAACTACTCCATCCACCACCATCACTACTACACCCACCACCATCACTACTACACCCACCACCATCAGTAAGTACTCACCCACCACCATCACTACTCCATCCACCACCATCACTACTCCATCCACCACCATCACTACTCCACCCACCACCATCACTACTACACCCACCACCATCACTACTCCACCCACCACCATCACTACTCCACCCACCACCATCACTACTCCATCCACCCCATCACTACTACACCCACCACCATCACTACTCCACCCACCACCATCACTACTCCATCCACCACCATCACTACTCCCCCACCACCATCACTACTCCATCCACCACCATCACTATTACACCTACCACCATCACTACTCCACCCACCACTATCAGTAAGTACTCCACCCACCACTATCACTACTCCACTGATTACCATGACTTCCACCCACCACTACCAGTACTCCACCCAATTTAATTAATGTTTCTGAAAAAACTTGAGTGTTGAAATGGAAGTTACCTCTTCCCTGGATTTATAGGAGAACCAAACAAGGGACGAGGTGCCTTACTACACTCTGGGATTAGTGTGGGAGTATTATCATTCCAGTTATGTCTTGGAAGAGCATGTGGAATGGGATGAAGTACCTGACATTCCTCTGGGTACAGAGTTGGAACTGACTTCAGATATGCCGCCAATTAGTAGCGGCGTATCTGAAGCTCGCTCGTAACTTGGATTTTGGCTTGTAACCCAAAGCAAAAAATCGACCGAGCGAAGGCTCGTAACTCAGAAAATTTGTAAGTTGGGGCACTCGTAAGTCAAGTTATCACTGTAGTGAGCGACACCTACAACACCAATGTGAATGCCTGCTTTGGTGGGGAACGGCTATTTATTTGCAGAGAGTTTCTATTTAGGCAGGTCAGACACCAACAGAATTCAATGCACTTATTCTGGGTATTGATACAGACTAAGTACTCCTGAATGTTCAGGACCACAGAATAGAAATGAAAATTTTCTTAATTCAGCTTGGGCAAAATTAAGTGAATTTTTAATTAATGACTGTTAGGAGAGATTTTCAAATTATTTTTTATGAAACAGAAATGTTTATGAAAATACAGTGACATGATCTAGCAAAATAGCCAAAACAAGAGCCCCCATTAACCACACAAGATGTCTAATCAGATGGTGCTCTGGCCTTTATAGTCAGACTAGAAAGCACCCAAAACAACAACTTTTTCATCCTTACCTTAAAACAATCTGATTTTCTTGAACTTGATGCATGAGTTTTGCTGCCTGACTTGGAGTCACAAATGGTATTGTTGCTATCAAGTCATCTAAGGTAGCTTCACTTGGTTCTTCTTCCTGTGAGCTGAGACCATTGGGGCTCAGAGTTTCTTGGGGTTCATCCAAATTTTCCTGTGCAATTCAATTAAATTTAGTAACCGGCTAATATCTGACATTTATTCCTTTTTATACGTTACCTACTTTCCATGATTATTTATACATCTTCAACAGGGCAGGGTGACACAAAAAAAGAAACATTTTCACCACCATTCACACATAATCACTGTCTTTGCAGAGGCGTGAAGGAACGACAGTTCAGATGTCACTTCAAACAGCAAATATCCCAAACCCCTCCTTTAAAGTGTAGGCATTGTGCTTCCCACCTCCAGGACTCAAGTCCAGCTAACCAGGTTCCATGAATCCCTTCACAAAATATTACCCTGCTCACATTCCAACAGCTTGTCAAGATCATCAAGTCTCAAAAACCATTTGTCTCCACTCACTCCTATCTAACACGTTCACACAGGCATATATACGTATAAAAACACTATCCATGGAGGCAAAGAAAGGAATGTATGAGACTATAGTGGTAACAACACTCATATATGTGTGTAAAGCATGGGATGCAAATGTTGCAGAAAGGAGGCTGGAGGCAGTGGAGATGTCCTGTCTAAGGGCAATGTGTGGTATAGATATTATGCAGAGAATTCAGAGTGTGGAAATTAGGAGGTGTGGAGTTGCTAAAAGTATTAGTCAAAGGGCTGAAGAGGAGTTGTTGAGGTAGTTTGGTCATTTAAGAGAGAATGGATCAAAGTAGAATGACTTGCAGAGCGTATAAATCTGTAGAAGGAAGGAGGGGCAGAGGTCGTCCTCGAAAAGGTTGGAGGGAGGGGTTATAGGTTTTGTGGGCGAGGGGCTTGGACTTCAAACAAGCGTGTGTGAGTGTGTTAGGAGTAAATGGGGATGAACGATTTTTGGGACTTAACGAGCTGTTGGAGTGTGAGCAGGGTAATATTTAGTGAAGGGATTCAGGGAAACTTGTTAATTTAGATCTAGCCAAACTTGAGTCCTGGAAATGGGAAGTACAATGCCTGCAGTTTAAAAAAAGGGTCTGGGATATTGACAGTTTGGAGAGACTTCTAAACTGTCATATCTGAGTGCCTCTGCAAAAACAGTGATTATGTGTGAATGAGGTCAAAGTGTTGAATGATGATGAAAGTATTTTCTTTATGGGGAATTTTCTTTCTTTTTGGTTCACCCTGCCTCGTTGGGAGATGGCCCACTTGTTGGAAGAAAAAGTCTTGAGTGAAATATGAAGAGCTGACACCAAAATAACAAGACCCATCATATACTTACTTCCATAGATAATGTACTGAGGTCAGCCTCAAACCCTGATAAGTTTGCTGGATCTTCATCATCTTCATACTCTTCCCCTTCAACTGTCACATCAATGTCATCTTCAGTCCTCTCCATCTCACATTCTGAAGAGCCTTCACTTAAGGAATGCCCAGCCTAGATAATGTAGATATATATGGATATTAAGACCATATACAACACAAAAAGAAACTTTAATTTATAAAAGGGACAAACACTGCAAGTTGTGCATAACACTGAACAGCCTACAACATTACTTTATATCTTTGTACCTACAACTAGTTTACACATCATTAAGCCATTAATTCAGGCAGTGAACCATCTATGCATAGCTGGACCAAGACTAGATTAAAGTTTTATAGGGTCCTAGACCTAGGTAATACTTATCTATCCAGTACAGGAAATAATAAACAGTATAAGAGTCTGTACAAAAAATTATCTGTTAAAATGACAGAAAAACAAATAGGTTATAAACTACTGTAATTACACACATTAGATTCCCACAAGAAATGCTTCTGTAGTGTGTCATAATGAAATCTCAAAAGTAAAAGTAAAACTAAATACCATACATGTGCCTGATACAAGCAAAATAAAAAAGTGTTATAAGTGCATAAGAGAATAGCCATGAGATCAGCCAGGTTGTAATGGTCATACTGGCCTGTGGACTGCTAGCAGCAACAATGGAGTGTGGCCTCAGGACAGACTTTTTTTGAGCACAACTCTCAAAACTGGTAACAGGCACGAGAGAGCAAAGACAAGTTTTGATTTTCAAATCTGCAACAGCATGGTGAGTATATGGCATGCCTCCTAGACATTTTCACACGTCTTCACTCATATGACACCTCACCTCGCAAACTCTCTCAATCCTCCCCCTCCCCCTCACTATCATCCAAACCTGCACTATTCAGTTACTTTCTTGGACTGTCTTGTTCCACACTAACCAGTGTTTTTCAAGTATTTTCTAGATATACCATTCCTCATTCTCATCTCTGGATATAAACTAAGGGATCCATGAGGAGCACCATGATGCTGGAGGTGCCAAGAAAAAGATGATTCATACACAAATAACCCGCATATAGGAAAGAAGCTTACAAAGACGTTTCGGTATAACTTGGACCATTTACAGGGTCAGATGTTAGAGCAATTTTGAAGTGGTGCACATGTTATACACTCCGCACAGAATTTAATGTGAATAAATTGTTCATTCCTTTAATTAGAAAGAAGACAAAATTATTCTACATCTAACAATAGTTCAGACTGTCTATGCAGTCTACTGAGCATTACACAGATAACCTAAACAGAGGTAACTGTTAAGGAGACATTTTGGCCTGACTTGGACCATTAACAACTCTATTAGACTAAGACAGACGCAAACTACTACAGTCTCTCCTCACTTAGTGATGTATACTCGTTTACCGACGGCTCGGACTTATGACGGGCTCTCTGATCGGTACTTATACCTAAATAATGCATATTAAAAGCTGATTTCCTCTATTAAAAATATACCAGAAATGTTATAAATGGTGCAAAGGTGACATTAAAACAATATCAAAGATGGTCGACACAAACTCACTACCATTATAATATGCTCCTCACTTAGAGATGCTAGCGGGAGATTCGTCTGTAAAAACTTGCACTTGTGGTCACAGTGGTGCCTATGCTAACCTAGTTGGATGAATCTTATTGTGGCTAGCTGGCCCAGTGGCTAATGCAACGGTCTGGAGTTCTGAGACTCTCTGATTGCGGGTTCTAACCCCGCCCGTGGTATAGTTTTTTTATGAGCATACAGCTGTCTTGGGATGAAGTGCCAAAATACCAAGAGGCATAACAAGTTTACTGCAGCTAAGCCAGATTCTAATTAGGACAATGTATGCAGATGAGGTTGTACCTTACACAAGGAAAAAAATTACCACCCAAAATAGCACACAATGGGATACAATACCCAAACAATATAAGCGCACACTGCATTATGAGAGTATATAAAGTACTACACCTCTAGAGCCAACCTGATGAGAAATTCTCAAGTTATCATCCAAAAAATAACAGGGGAAAATTAAATAGAAACAAACAAGATAATGTGGATCAGAAACCATTATGAAGTATAAAAATTTTGTAAATCAGTATATAATGAAGAAAAAATTAAACATGTCAACATCTAGAGGGTGAAATTAGAATATCAAGAGTTTATAGATAGTAAGACTTTCCAATATTCAGATGCTGGAATTAGAATAAATATCAAGAATTTTTTTATCACCTTCTCTATGGACTCCAGTAGCATATCTCCTTTTTTGTTCCTCTGACTGACATCTGCTGCTGCTTTTGATCCATTAGCAGCTTGCATCTGGTATAGAAATTAAATTCATAAAAAATTTAAACAGGTAACTGTGCCAATACCCTAATATTGTATTCAATGAACATCATAAATATTTCTTCTTTCTTTCAACACACCAGCCGTATCCCACCGAGGTGGGGTGGCCCAAAAGGAAAAATGAGTTTCTCCTTTTACATTTATTAATATATACAGGAGACAAGGTTACTAGCCTCTTGCTCCCAGCATTTTAGTTACCTCTTACGACACACATGGCTTACAGAGGATGAATTCTGTTCCACTTCCCCATGGAAGTAAAAGGAAACAAACAAGAACAAGAACTAGTAAGAAAATAGAAGGAAACCCAGAGGGTGTGTATATATCTATGCTTGTGCATGCATATGTAGTGTGACTTAAGTGTATGTAAAAGTAGCAAGACATACCTGAAATCTTGCATATTTTTTTTTTTCAACAAACCATCCATATCCCACTAAGGCAGGGTGGCCCAAAAAGAAAAACGAAAGTTTCTCTTTTTAAATTTAGTAATAAATACAGGAGAAGGGGTTACTAGCCCCTTGCTCCTGGCATTTTAGTCGCCTCTTACAACACGCATGGCTTGCGGAGGAAGAATTCTGTTCCAATTCCCCATGAAGGTAAGAGGAAATAAACAAGAACAAGAACTAGCAAGAAAATAGAAGGAAACCCAGAGGGGTGTGTATATATATGCTTGTACATGTATGTGTAATGTGACCTAAGTGTAAGTAGAAGTAGCAAGACGCACCTGAAACCTTGCATGTTTCTTCTTTCTTTCTTTCTTTCAACACACCGACCGTATCCCACCGAGGCGGGGTGGCCCAAAAGGAAAAACGAAAGTTTCTCCTTTCAAATTTAGTAATATATACAGGAGAAGGGGTTACTAGCCCCTTGCTCCCGGCATTTTAGTCGCCTCTTACAACACGCATGGCTTACAGAGGAAGAATTCTGTTCTACTTCCCCATGGAGATAAGAGGAAATAAACAAGAACAAGAACTAGTAAGAAAATAGAAGGAAACCCAGAGGGGTGTGTATATATATGCTTGTACATGTATGTGTAATGTGACCTAAGTGTAAGTAGAAGTAGCAAGACGTACCTGAAACTTTGCATGTTTATGAGACAGAAAAAAAGATACCAGCAATCCTACCATCATGTAAAACAATTACAGGCTTTCGTTTTACATTCACTTGGCAGGATGGTAGTACCACTCTGGGTGGTTGCTGTCTACCAACCTACAACCTAGAATCATTAATGTTTCTTCTTCTTTCAACAAACTGGCCGCATTCTACCGAGGCAGGGTGGCCCCCCCAAAAAAAAACGAAAGTTTCTCTTTTTAAATTTAGTAATTTGTACAGGAGAAGGGGTTACTAGCCCCTTGCTCTCGGCATTTTCGTCGCCTCTTACAACATGCATGGCTTACGTAGGAAGAATTCTGTTCCACTTTCCCATGGAGATAAGAGGAAATAAATAAGAACAAGAACTAGAAAGAAAATAGAACAAAACTCAGAGGGGTGTGTATATATATGCTTGTACATGTATGTGTAGTATGACCTAAGTGTAAGTAGCAGTAGCAAGACATACCTGAAATCTTGAACGTTTAGGAGACAGAAAAAGGACACCAGCACTCCTATCATCATGTAAAACAATTATATGCTTTCATTTTACAGTCACTTGGCAGGATGGTAGTACCTCCCTTTGCAGCTGCTGTCTACCAACCTACTACCTAGAATCATTTTTGCTAACTCAAAATTTCAAGCACTATAACAGAAAATACGTATAATTATGTATAACAATGACTGATGTAAAAGAAAATAAGAAAACTTTCATGAGAAATTACCTCTTTGACAACAATGTGCAGGAAGAGAGGACCATAAGTTAACTGCGGAATGGCAAAGTACTTGTAGGTGGTCTTGAAGCGATCCACAATATACTCAAACACTGGGTTCCCACTCACTGTCCTGGTTAAATTTCTCTTCTGCACAAAAGGATCTGTTAAAAAAAACTTACTAAAACAATTGAATTAAATCAATAAAACAAACTCTCATACCAGTAACATATGAAATAAACACTAACATTTACCAAGAAAAGGAAAATAAGAAAATAGTAACTTGGACATGGATTTTTGAGAAGGAATTTCAACCCAATGCTAAACATTAATCAAGTGTACAGTAGTAAGATCTGATTGGAAACCTAATTACATATCTGAAGTAGTAAGATCTGGTGGGAAAACTAATTATGTATTTGAAGAACATGTGTAGATTAGTACTTACAATGATATAAGAAGTAACAAATTTGTGGATGGGACCAGTAAAATAAAAGAGCCACCAATTGATGAAATACATTCGTAATAAGCCTACAGAACATGCCACAGTGGTTTACCAAAGCAAATGACCAGCTGGGCCCTCTATCTTTCTATTAAACAAAAAAGCCGGCATAATCCAATAAAAATTCTACCAAAAAGTTATGAAAATGAGATTTTTTTTTTTCAACGAACTAGCTGTATCCCATTGGGGAAGGGTGAAATTAAGATACAGCAAACAAAAGTAAAGGTACTTGTCCGTTTCCTAAATCATGAGCATATATAATTTTTTTCAACTGCAATGGTTATTTCCCACCAAGGATGGATGACCCCCCAAGAACCAAACACATTCTTTGCCAGTAACGGGAATACATCAATATTCCAACGATCCTCCAAACTGCAACATCCCCATCCATCTTTCTGAGTGCAGGCACTGTATTTCCCACCTCTAGAAATCAAATTTAGCTCACTTTCCCCCAAACCTTCATAAAAGTTACCATCACTGCAATCTAACACATTCACACATCAGCTGTTTCTTACACACATAAAATGACTCCCAGGAAAAATAAAGAAAATTAACCATCACTCAAGTCCCAGCTCTCTATCCAGATATATACAGGCATCATAATGTAAATAATGAAATAATGAAAATATTATATTATGACTGGATCCACTGACTCTTTTCTATTGTTTCTTATGTTGTTTTCCTGTACATAGTTGATGAAAATTTTGTTGACTAACGTAACAGCTGTACCTACAGTCTTCAAGACTACAATGCCCATTACCTGCTACTACAATGACCGAGTGATGGCTTCATCTTTCACTGTCTGCTGTATATATTTCTACAGTCTTTATATTATGTCCATGTATTGTATTGATAAAGCCACTGAATGGTAAAATGTCTGGAAGTAAAGATCACCAGATGATGTACTTGTGTCTAAGTCATAACTTAACATTACTGCAATGTACATTATTTAAAAAATACTATAGGCACAGCAGCTTCTTACCTTCGACAGCTATTTTCTTGCTCCACGTTTTCTCAGCTCTTGTAATGGGTTGATGCTGACGAACATTGATTACAAAATCTAACATTTTAAACCCTACTGTATAGAACCTAAATAAATCCTGCCACAATTTTCCCACAGAGTCAGTATTTTTGCACTTCCACTTATCACCTAGTTCAGCAGGACCTGCAACAAACAATACAAATTAGCTTATGAGTGATACTGTACTTTATTTGTTTTTTAAGATTTGAAGAGCACTAGACCTTGTTTGGTCATTTAGCACTTTTGACATGAAAAATATTCAATAAACATAACATAAAACTTATATAAAATCCATCTTAATTTGCCATTCTCATTTTCCACAATGCACATGTGATAAATCGTTCTCTAAACTTCCCATAAAATAATGAAATCCCTATTACAGATGGAGTCCTCCCCTAGGTGTAACATGGAACCCTTAGCCTTGGAGAAGAAAATAAAAAATGGCTTCAAGGAAAAATACTGAGATTTCTTCTTGAGGCTGATTGAATATTCTATTTCCTCTATCAGTATCCTTATACCTGTAAATAAATATACAGTGGTACCTCGGGATACGAACAGCTCCCAACTCGAAAAATTATGTAAGTGTATTTTTGTAAGTGCTTTTGTAAGTGTATTTTTGAGGGTGTGAAATGGACTAATCTAATTTACATTATTCCTTTTGGGAACAAATTTGTTTGGCATCAGTACTCGAACAGCCTTCTGGAACGAATTAAGTTCGTAAACTGAGGTATCACCGTATATGCCTTCTTAAGCAAAATGCTCAACAAGTTCAAAGGATACACTGATAATACAAGGCTACAATTAATATAAAATACAAAATACTAAGTCTGAGGAATACATTACAAACACACAGGTGGTTTGTCAACAATTAAATTTCTAAAACAATTTGTCTAGCACCTCAGACCTGGGATGAATACTCAGGATAAAACAGGCATTACCCCACTGAACTTCAATACAGTGGAACCTCTACTTGCGAGCGTGTCCACGTGCGAGTTTTTCTAAATACAAGCAGTCGAAGGGTCGATTTTTTGCTTCCACATGCGAGCAAAATTTCCATAAGCGAGCAGACCTCAAGGCAGGTTCCTTGACACTTGTGAGGGGCTCTTGCTCTTGATCTTGGGAATTGTATCTCATTTGTTTGTTGGACTATCTTAATGAAACTTGGGCAATGTATGATGGAAAGATGCTTCTTAACGTACACCAAAAATGAAAGAAATCTAAGCGTAAATATTGTATTCATTTTAGAGTATATATCAGGTTTCTAGGTTATTTATATTGTTTATTATGTCATATTAGATGATGTGAGATAGATAAATAAGCCGTAGAGTTGATATTAGCAAAATTATTGAAGTACAGAATTCCACTGGAATGGATTAATTGCATTTCAATTAATTTAAATGAGGAAAATTGACTCTGCAAGTGAGCAAATCCAGTTGCGAGCAAGGTCATGGAACGAATTAAACTCGAAAGTAGAGGTTTCTCTGTATTAAGAAACTGAACAGAAAGCCAGCTGCTCTGGGAACATTAGTTGCCCTGATGAGTCTTTTTACCTAATTCCTGCAGGAATGTGAATGAGCTCTTTTTTTTTCCATGAGGCAAGGGTTTCTGAAACTATGGGAACAAACATGTACTGCTTTCTATACTAAAGATAGACAACAGCCAGTGTAGATGCACATATGTAGTCCAACACCACTTGCTTATCCCATCCAAACTGGACTCTTCAGGCTGCCATCAGATCTTCATAGTTGGGGCACTTATACCTTTACAACCCATTCTGAGGCCAGGCTTACCTGTTGACTGTCTGGTCATCTAGGCTATTGTTATTAGGGACCCACAAACACATACCCATTGAGTTTTCCAACATTTTGGTTCCAATTAACTTCATTTCCATAATATTTATTCTAATCTGAACTGCTCAGTTATCCCCTCCACTGTCAGTAGTCCCCAAAAGTTTAACCCTTTGACTGTTTTAGTCATATATACTATATGTCTTACGAGCCAGTGTTTTTGGCATATTTATGCTCAAAAATTCTAGCAGCTTCAAATCAAGTGGGAGAAAGCTGGTAGGCCCACATGTGAGAGAATGGGTCTGTGTGGTCAGTGTGCACAGTATAAAAAAATCCTGCAGCATATAGTGCATAATGAGAAAAAAAAACTCTGATAGTGTTTTTAGATAAAAACGCTGACTTTGAGGTGTATTTTTGTATAGTATTTATGGTTGTAGTCTCGTTTTCTTGGTCTCAATTGATAAAATGGAAGACTTGTTACAGAAATAGAGATGATTTTGATTGGTTTCAAGATGGAAAGAACCTTGAAATTGAGCTCAATGTAGCGGAAATGTTAGATTTTTGCCAATGTTCAAGAGTAATCAAATGACGTTATTGTCCAATAAGTGTCCGATTAGCCATTCTAATATGCAGTCATAAATTGGTTGACATTATTTATACAATTATTACAATAATGCAGTAGTCTGCATAACAGTAAATCTTCTAATTTTTGTGTGAACAAAAATTCAAAATAGAAAGCAAGAATAATACAAGAGGGGGCTGGAGATGTGACTGATGAACAGAGAAAATGTTATTTTAGTACCAGGAATGTCTGCATTGTTTATTCTGGACCCTATTTTGAAATTGCCATCTTTTTTAATTGGCATGACCACTTTATTGGGTAGTTGAAATCGGTCAATGGGCAGTTTCTTGTACTCAATTGATAGAACAAATGTAGTTCTAAAGAAATAGCTATGAGTTTGGGCAACTGGAACACTGGAATTGGCCAAAAATGGGGTTCAAGGTGGGCAACGTTGCCAATGCATAAACATCACTGAGATCGCTAAATTCGCGAGAGTGTAATTCCATAAGTTTTCCATCAAATTTCATACTTTTGGTGTTATTAACATCGGGAAAAGATTATTATTTCACGAGAAAAAATATTTTCTTTTTCAAAAATTATCAAACACAGACACGCACTTTAGGATTTGGAGTCGTGACAGTCAAAGAGTTAAGGGTTAATAAAAAAAATTATTTCATCTTATAAAATGGTAATATTTTTCTAAAGGCAAGATATCCAAAATGCAACATTTCATGTGCAGTAGGGCCCCGCTTTACGGAGCTTCGCCTTACGGCGTTCCGCTAATACAGTGATGTCAAATTATGACCAAAATTTGCTATACGGCAAGCAGTTTTTCGGATACTGCGCGCCCCACCCGGTTTGTTTACATTCTCTGTGACCACATCTATTATGTCTGGAAACTTTCCAAAATTTCAAGTGTTTTAAAGTTACTGCATATTTTATATGGACTCTGATAATTATACTTATGTGTACCTGTACCTAAATATACTTACACACTGTGCTGGTGTGCAGGTACACATTAAAATCGCTAAGAGTCTCTCTACTTATGACGCCAATACTACGTAATAACAATCACTCTTGGGCACACTAAATGTCTTATTTTACATTAATATAGGCATTTTCATTAATCCATCTATGATATTTTCCTCAAAATTATATATGAAACCCGTTACATAGCATATAAACATGATACATACACTCAGAATAAAAACTGACGTAAATACGAGATTTGTTTGCAAAGCAGCTGTGTAGGGAGTGTCGGAAGAATTATGTTTTCTCTAGTCAAACTGGGGGATAACTGTAGAAAAATATTCTTTTCGTATGCCTTCATTCTATATATAGCAATTCACGACCCTTGTGGGTTTAGTGCTTTTTATTATGATAATAATAATAATAATAATAATAATATCTTCATTCACTCTAAAAATGGTGTGTTGCTGTTTGTTTATTCTGTACTAACTTGTACCACTTGTACACAATGTAAGAGTATTTGTACTGTGAGGTAATTATTTTATTATTATCACACTGGCCGATTCCCACCAAGGCAGGGTGGCCCGAAAAAGAAAAACTTTCACCATCATTCACTCCATCACTGTCTTGCCAGAAGGGTGCTTTACACTACAGTTTTTAAACTGCAACATTAACACCCCTCCTTCAGAGTGCAGGCACTGTACTTCCCATCTCCAGGACTCAAGTCCGGCCTGCCGGTTTCCCTGAACCCCTTCATAAATGTTACTTTGCTCACACTCCAACAGCACGTCAAGTATTAAAAACCACTCGTCTCCATTCACTCCTATCAAACACGCTCACGCATACCTGCTGGAAGTCCAAGCCCCTCGCACACAAAACCTCCTTTACCCCCTCTCTCCAACCTTTCCTAGGCCGACCCCTACCCCGCCTTCCTTCCACTACAGACTGATACACTCTTGAAGTCATTCTGTTTCGCTCCATTCTCTCTACATGCCCGAACCACCTCAACAACCCTTCCTCAGCCCTCTGGACAACAGTTTTGGTAATCCCGCACCTCCTCCTAACTTCCAAACTACGAATTCTCTGCATAATATTCACACCACACATTGCCCTCAGACATGACATCTCCACTGCTCCAGCCTTCTCCTCGCTGCAACATTCATCACCCATGCTTCACACCCATATAAGAGCGTTGGTAAAACTATACTCTCATACATTCCCCTCTTTGCCTCCAAGGACAAAGTTCTTTGTCTCCACAGACTCCTAAGTGCACCACTCACTCTTTTTCCCTCATCAATTCTATGATTCACCTCATCTTTCATAGACCCATCCGCTGACACGTCCACTCCCAAATATCTGAATACATTCACCTCCTCCATACACTCTCCCTCCAATCTGATATTCAATCTTTCATCACCTAATCTTTTTGTTATCCTCATAACCTTACTCTTTCCTGGATTCACCTTTAATTTTCTTCTTTTGCACACCCTACCAAATTCATCTACCAATCTCTGCAGCTTCTCTTCAGAATCTCCCAAGACCACAGTGTCATCAGCAAAGAGCAGCTGTGACAACTCCCACTTTGTGTGTGATTCTTTATCTTTTAACTCCACGCCTCTTGTCAAGACCCTCGCATTTACTTCTCTTACAACCCCATCTATAAATATATTAAACAAAACCCCGGTGACATCACACATCCTTGTCTAAGGCTACTTTTACTGGGAAATAATTTCCCTCTTTCCTACATACTCTAACTTGAGCCTCACTATCCTCGTAAAAAACTCTTCACTGCTTTCAGTAACCTACCTCCTACACCATACACTTGC